TCACCATGCACATACTTTTTCTTAAGGCTGCCCCCGCCCTTCCAGTGACATGTCAATGGACACAGGACCCCCAAACCTGCATCTTCCTCTGGAGAGGCTGTCTCAGAGGAACTCACAGTTTGCTGGGGGGGTGGCAGATATGCATCTAACAAATTCCCTGCCAGTAATGAGCCAGCGTCCAGGTATCCTGGCAGCACAGGGGAGAATATAATTAAGCCTGCCATGGAGGATTGGGAAAGACTTCTCCCAACTGGTCGCAGAGAATGAGTAAGAGTGAGGCAGGCGAGGAATGAGGAAGAGAGGTTTTCGATTAGGGAGAAGAGCCTAGGACAGTGCTGCTCAACTGGGCACATTTGACAACGTCTGGGAACATTTTTTGGTGACCATAAATAGAAGAGGAACAAGTCTACTGGCATCTGGAGGGCAGAGGCGAGGCATGTCACTAGCCATTTACAAGGCACAGGACCGCTTTGGTGACAAAGCAGGATCTAGCCCAATGTCAACAGTGCCATGGTGGAGAGACCTGGCTAAGCGAAGATAAAGACTTGCATTGTCAGGCTGCAAGTGAGAAGTGGCATGGAGCATTGGCAAACAGGGCGCTACAAATGACCGCTTTGATGGAAGAGAAAATCCGGTAGGAGGGGAGGAAAATTTAAATTTCCTAGTCAAGACATAAGGCAGAGCAGATGCCTTATTTTCCAATGCCTTATTCTCCGAAGAAAGAACCAGCCACCACCAACCTGAGAGACACTGGAGCCCTGGAAGCCACGTGCACATTTCACTGTCAGGTGAAATGAAGAGCATAACTCCCAGGGAAGCTGCCCTTGGTTCAAATCCCTCCTGAACCATGGCTTTTCTTTTACTGAATGACTAAGAGAGGAGTTTAAATGCTCAGTGAGGACCAGATGTCACATTACAGCTCCCTGCAGTGGGACTCTCGATTAGAGAGTGAGTGCAAAGCTGGTGTCAATGCTGAAAGAACTGGCCTGAGCAAGAAGGAAAGCTCCACATCCAAAAAAGAAGTGGCTACAAAGAAAGCAGAACACAGCGGGGTTGCAAGTGATCATTAGGGGTGTTGGCAGGCCAAACCAGGCCAAACCATGAAGGCAGGAGATGCCTCTGCAGGAATCTCACTGTGGGCACAGAACCTTCAACAGAACCTTCAGAAATGGAGTGAGGAGCTTATGACCACCGACAATCCCTCCGACAATCCCAGGACCTCCACTCCCCACCCCACCCCCACCACCACCAAAAGAGGCGGAAAAATGCCCCCAGCCAGACACCTGCTTCCAGGAGGTGTCTTGCTGGGGGCAGTCTCAGGATATGAGCAACTAATGTTACAAAGGCAAGAAATACAAGTCAAAATTTCAGACATACAAATTCATGCTAAACAGAGCACCCTGTTCACTCCACTTCATTCCGGCACACAGACACAGATATTCCCCCGTACAATTTTGTTGTTTGTGCTGGAATTCGAATCCAGGACTTCATCAAGGAATATGTTTTAACATGGAACCATATGCCCAGCCCCTAATGTGTTCTTTTTTTTTAACAACAAAATTACATTATTTGCAGCAGATGTCTAAGAATCAAGCTTTGGCTGCAAGACGTGAAAAAGCAATAATAGTGGCCAAAAATAAATAAATAAATAAGATAGTCCTAGCAATAGAAACAAAGAGCATGAGATTGGACTTCCGTAAAAAGCTTGTCACTTGGTGGGGGTGGGGATAGGCCAGGGACAGAAACAAGGTGGAGGGGAAATGGGCCTGCCATTGAGGCAGGTGGGGTGGGGGGGGGGGGTGCGGTGGGCAGGACTGGTGAAGGGATTAGTACTGGAATGTCATAAACCTGACACTTAATCATGAATAACTTTGTGGCTTTGTAATTCCCAGTGATTTATTTTCTTTTTAAGGGAAAAAAATAGGTAATTCTAATGTACAGTGTTACAAATGGCCCCCCGAGCACCCCCCAGCCACCTCCAATACCACCAGTCTGCGGGGCAATAACTGCTAGGAGAGATCCCAGACCCCACACTGTCAGGTGTGGCCTCTATTAATAAACTGTTTTCCCAAGGAATGTTCTATGTGCCCAGCTTTATACTGGGTGCTGATGTTGCTGCTGCAAAAACTAAATTCCAGTTTGGATAGCACAGGCCTTGAAGCAATGACCTGTGAGAGCAAATGGAATATAAGTACTGAAAACCTCTGGAGAGTCTCATTAGAGTATGGCAGATACGTGGAGAACTTAGGGTTGTATGCCTGCTCCATAGTCCACTGTGAGACAAAATACACTCACATGTCCCCAGTGTGCAGCCACACACACCTGGTACAGCCCAAGCATGCACATTCCAGGAGATGACAGCACAGCGGATTGGCTAACAGCAACAGAGCCTAGGGAAGGTATCCAGCCAAACCCAAATACCCAGATGCATTCCCCTCCACCCAGGGCATGTGAGCGTATACCTCAAAGCTCCTACAATCAAGCACTCTGAGATGGTCCGGAGGAACCTCAAGGATGAAAATAAAACTATCTGAGAGAGTAAGCTGCTCCCTGTATTCTTCAAGTTGTGTCAAGTTTTCAGTTGGGCAAGTCCTGTTACCCAGGATAAGATACTATGCTCTCAGATGCCCAACTTCCAAGTCAATCATGGGCCACCCCTTTAAGCAATTCTAGAGTTGTCAAGTCAACACCGAGGAGACACACAAATACAATCATACGTCTTAACCCCCAGCTTCTTGAGCAACTTGGTAGCTGGCTGTAAATGTAAGCCTAGAAAATGTAAGCCCGGGCTTTAGCCAAGGGTCAAGCTAATGTGAGCTGGTAATCCTACCCACTTCTGCAATCTCCTTCCTCTTATGGTGTTTCTGGGCCAGCCTAAGGCATCTCCCTCTTCAGAACCTCCTTCACAATTAGTTTGTACAACGACTTGGCAAAGAATCACCTGGGCTCAATAAGGCTTAAAACTCTTCTATTTTTCTTCTGAGCTACTACTTAATGCAGTAGAAAATTTCAGCTTTAATCGTCACAAGTGGGGGGAAAGGGGAGAGGGCAGTTAGGACGGAGAAGGGACCACTATGACAATGACAGTTGGAAATGATCACTCTGGACAAGAACTGAGTCCTGAAAATAAGTAAAGGGGATATACATAACCTTACAGTACCTGTATTGCAAACCTTAATTTCCAAAAAGAAAGCAAGAGAGAGAGAGAGAAGAAAAATGCTTGACATAGAGGCAGACTAAGGGTAGAGGGATGGAAGGAGGGAAACTGGGGACATTGGTAGTGGGAAACGTACTCTGGTGAAGGGACAGGTACTGGAGCACTGCACGACTGAAACCCAATTGTGGACAACTTTGTAACTGTGTATCTCATGGTGATTTAATTTAAAAAATTCTTAAAGAAAAAAAAAGAAGAAAATTTCAGCTTTGTCCCTGTCGTCATTGTCGTACCACCCTTCTGAGAAGGTAAGGAACACATGGAAGAATTCCTGGAAACCTCCCACTTTCCCTCCTAGATTGTCACTTCTTAGAAAATCATGGGTTCTAACCCCTCAAGGGATTGTGTCAGGTCACTGATTGTGAAGGGGAGGGTGTCACAAAAGATTTGGCAACAAGTGAAAGGTATCTGAACATGCAAAGACCAAAAATTAATTCAAAACCAACCCCTCTATGAACCCCAGGTGTTTCCAGCACCTCTTGGCCATCTTGTATTTCTCAAGCCAAAACGGGCTGCAAGAGGGATATGGTTCAGAAGCCCTGGGCTTGTGTATCTGGCACAAAACAGAAGTGAACTTTAAGGTCCTCTTCTGCGCACACAGAAGTTAAGTGAGGCTCATTTTAATAAGCTTCCTTGATAGTCAAGCCTCACATTTAGTGATACGTGAGAGCGAACTGAATGAAAGCACTGAGAAATTGGAGTATGTCAAAATGTGTGCACCCACTCCATGCTCGGGGATGGAAGACAGGTAAAAAGCTGAAGACTCTAAAAGCTGGCAATTTAAAAGATTAAAACAGTTTTTAAGTCGTTAAAAGTTAACGTAAGAATAAATTAATACTGAGATGTGGGGTTTGTTAAGCACCCAAAACAAAAATATGATCTTCCCTCCCCTTAATAAGTAACAAAGTGATATTATCTATAAACCTTATAAGAAGTTGAGTTAAAACTTTCAGGATGACGTTCTGAACACACGCACACAAACACACAAACTTACTTTGAAACTCCATTTGCTATAACGATCTTTTTTCTTTGAAAAGTAAACTACTCTAGAGATCTGCTTACGCATTACTGTCAGGAATGGAATAATCACACAGAGAAGACATTCTAAAACAAAATCGTTCGGGAAGCCCATTTGGGGGCGCTGAGTTGTGACTATACTTTTCAAAGATGTCAGTAACACAAGGGCTCCATCCATAACTCCTCGAAAAAAAACTGAAACCATGAATGCCTTGTCAAATTCAGACAGTTTATCTTGGCACGGGCAAGCAGAGCCGTCTCTTCAATGTCTGGAAACGTGTCTAATTACGTTTTGGGGAGTAAGTTTAAAAAGAAAACGAAAAAAAATAGCCAGAGTCCGGGAACAGACAGCTCAGAGATCGCGCCAGAGCATCCTGGAGGACGGGATGGAACCACGCCAGGAGATGAAATTTCAAAAAGAGAGGGAGGGAAAGCAGAGCCGCACGTGTGAAACCCGGGATGCGCCCCGAGCCGTTTTCCAAAGCCACCTGCAGGCTTCCGAGGGCCTCGGAGACTCTCCCTAAAGCTCCTTCCCCTTCCTTCAGTTTCCATTAGGTAACCCGGCCCGCCCACGGCGCTCACCTGGGGCCGCGCGGACAGCGCCCAGGTAGCCCCAGCCCCGCGACCCGGCCGAGCTCAGCCCGGCCCAGGGTCGCCCACCCGCGCGCACTGCGCGCCCCCCGGGGCTCGGCGGGACCCCCGGCGGCCACCCCCGCGCGAGCGCCCCCTCCCGGCCACGGGCCGCCGTGCACGCGGGCTCCGCCCTCACCTGAGCCGGAGGTTGGCCATGAACTCGGGCATGGACACGGTGTCCATCAGCACGAAGTCCGCCTTGCCGAACTCCAGGCTCTCCTGCTCCGCCATGGCGCCGGTGCGCGGGCTCAGGTGGGCGTCGACGGACTCAGGTGGGCGCTCTGCGGGCCGGGAAGGCGCGGCGGGGGCCGGGGCGCCGCTCGGCGGATCTGGACGGACGGAGGCCGCCCAGCTGCTCCTCGGCGCGCTTGCAGTTTCCGCTCCTCCCGCGGCGGCTGCCTGGCGCGGTGGGGGACGGGACACCGAGACGGAGACGGCGGCGGCTGGTCCCGCCTCTGGCCTGGGTCTGGCCTGGGCCCCCGCGGCCGCCGCGCTCCGCCCCGCCCCGCCCCGCCCCGGCCGGGCCTCCCCGGCTCCGCCCCCCGCCGAGGGTCCGCCCCCGGCCGGCAGGCCACGCCCCCTCACCTGGGCGGCGCGCGCGCGCTTGGGGCACGGGGCGGGAGCGCGCGCCGGCCCCGGCTGCGGCGGCTGGGCAGCAGCGCCCCCTAGGGCCGGGCTCGGGGATCGCGCCGGGCGGTGCCAAGGAACCAGGACGTAGCCGGGTGGGTGGAATCAGGTTTCCGGTTTGCCACCGCCCTCCTTCGCCCGGTAGAAGCCAGCAAAGTCACCCAAGTGGCGCGGGTGGAGGCTTTTATTTTTTTTTCATTCTAGTCTGCCATCCTGCGGAGAATCCCTGGACTAGCCCTGGGCTCGTGTCCTCTCCATCCTTGAATTGATCGTGGTTCTTGCTCAGATCGAGCGAATAGCTAAAAATGCTCTGGCTAGAAGGATGACCTCAATGAAGGCTGAAGTAACTTGCAGCATGACTAGGAAGTGAGGACACTGCAGTTTCCTCCAGGCCATTTGCCTTAGAAGCCCCAGGCTTAGCCCCAGGGCAGCCAGCTTTCCTTCTCCAGTTTCCCATGACCCAGCTTCTCTTCCTCCCATCCAAGTCTGCCCACAAGCATTATTTTATAGTATTGTTATTGCATATTGCATAGACATGTATCATCTTCCTAGAATTATTGTAAGCTTCTTGAGTCTAGAGCTGTGTCCTGTAGTTCTTGATAGCTCCCCTGGCACCCACCAAGCAGATATTGTACTATCTTGCACAGGCAGATATGACAGTCACGCTGGTTCGATGGAGTGGGATCAGTTCTAAGTGGCCTCTAGTGGATAATGCATTGGTTGAGCTTGGAAAGTTCTTTTGAAACTGCATTTTCCCCCATGAAAATTTATTAGAAGTGGATTTCTAGGACAGCTACACCTCCCCCTTACGTATTTCCTTTAGAAGTTCTGAAGTTCCTTCAGAACCATCTATGATGGCAAAACTTACTAGGAAATCTCCAGTCTCCCAAAGGTCTGACCAGGTTCCAGCTCGATGGCTGAATTGGAGATGTGTGAACCCCAGGACCCTGCTCAAGTTCCATTTCTGCTGCCAGCAAGAGAGAAGCTGTGCCACCTTGGCAAGAGAGTAGGGAATGCAGCTTGACAGTTATTCAGTTGAGCAGCTCTGCCATAGAAAGCTTCCCTGGTACAGGTAGGCCTGGGCTGCAGCCCAGTTGCCATTAGCATCTCTCCTTCTTCAGGTGATACCTCTCTGCAGCTCAGTGTCCTCATTTGAGAATTAAGCACTTTTCTACAAGATACTTTCTGAAGAAAATTAGTTTTGGGGGGGTGGGGGACTATGATTTATGATACTATTAACCTGTTGCTAATGGTGGTTTCCTGTGCACATAATTCCAACACCACAGTCATCACAAGTTACCCATCTCCTTCCTCCCCAGGCCCCCAGTGCCCCTCCCTTTCAAACCCCTGCCCCATACACACACACATTCAGTTGTATAGGTCAGTTTTCCTGTTGTGTTGCCTTTGGCCCTTTGTTGCTACTTTGATGTGTGTCTTTATGCCCCACATATGAGAGAGATCTATCCCTTTACTTCTGACTGAAGGTCAGTTCTTTTTAATTCTCAGTTTTAGGTGGGATACACACCTGATGCTTTGGGGATCATGTGGTGCCAGGGATCAAACCTTAGGCTCTTCTGTGCAAAGCATGTGTACCAGTCCTCTGAGCCATCTTCCTAGCACTGTAAGTTACAAATTTATTGCTATGTTTGTGTGGCTCAGTCCTTGGCAAAGCAGGAGATGGCATAAAGTGTGGCGTATATTCCTAATATGTTGGGTTGGAACACTTTAACGTAAGTGGGACTAAACTTCAGAGGGGAAAAAAAGGAAAGAAATCTCTCATTGTGTACAGCTTGGATCAACCAGGGACCATATTCTGTGACTCAGAAGAAAAATGGATGTATGTGTAATCTTTCCTTCCCGGGGTTATGAGAACAAAAGTGATTGTACAATGGGATACAGCTGTGGCCAGAGTAAGAGAACTCTTGTTTTAATTAATATCTCATACTGAGCCAAACATATAAAACATATACACGACATATGCAAAGAATAATTTATTGTATAAGCCCAAATTAGTATAAAATCGGATATTGAGAACAACTAGACTTTGATGAACCCAAATCTGTCTAGTGGGTCTCATCGTCACCTTAAATTGGCCCAGGATTCTAGTTTACCCTGAACTATTATTTTGGTGATATTGAGAAAATTCTGATTTACATGACTAGCAGGAATGCTTTTGTCATTCAGTTTACATCCAGCCTTTTTAAGGCCAATGCACAGCTCAAGCCTTCTTAATCAATGACATTTACAAAGAGTTCCAATATATACAGAGATGCCAGGATAAACTAAACATTGGCATCTACACCCTAGTGGGTGATGTAAAGCAAATAAGTCATTATTAGTCTCCTTTGTAGTAAAATTTGAATAGAAACACATTCTAATAATCATCTTTATGTTACAACTGACAATATACTAAAAACTAAAATAAAGAGTTAGATCACCCAGGAGGCACCCTGACATCATGAATGATGCACAAGCCAGGTTGAAGACTTAGTGTTCCTTGCTGAAAATGTGCCCGCTGATCTAATCATGAAGAACACCAAATGAGCTTGCATTAAGAGGCAATTTCACAAAGTGACTGGCTAGAAACCTTCAAAAATACCAAAGGCAAGAAAAATAAAGAAAAGGGGAGACCCCAGATTCAGAGACACGAAAGAGAGACACCCACCACAGCTAAAGGTAGTGTGTGCCCAGCCTAAATCTAGAGACCAAAATATGAAAAGGGTATTTTGGGTAATTGCTGAAACACAAAATAGGGGTCAGGTAGATAGATAAATAGTAAGTGCAATGGCTAAGGTATTTGCCTTGCACAAGGCCAACCAGGGTTCGATCCCTGGCATCCCATATGATCCTCTGAGCACAGCCAGCAGTAATTCCTGAGTACAGAATGAGGAGTAACCCCTGAGCATTGCCAGGTATGCCCCCTAAATTTTTTTTATTTTTTTATTTTATAAAGTAATTCACAATTTTTTATTAGACTTAATATTTAAACACCGGTCCCACCACCATAACACCTTTCTATCCCCCTTTTTTTATATATTTTCATTCCGGACCCCAATTCTTGCCTCAGCAAAACCAGAATACTATAATATTTCCCCCTAATATTTCCCTCTAAGATTGGTTGCATCTTACTTTGACACCCATCAAATGTGGTACAGTACTCTGGGGGGTAAGGGTAGGGTGTGCCCTATGAAGTGTGCCACAGACACAAATGCGGCCACAAATGCAGCCACACAATCCAGGAAAAGGTTCACTCATGGGTGTCGCTCAGTCTGAGAGTGTGGAGAGCAGCCGTGAGCATGGCAGTGATTGAGTTCTGGAGTTTTTTGGCTGCTGGGGCTGGGTCCCTTGGGGTGAGAAAGGGTCTCACCCGCCCCCTTCTGGGGTGGCCAGAGTGAAACAGCCTGGCATGGGATCCAGCAGCATGGTTATGGAGAGCATCATGTTATGCTCCCTTCCAGGGAAGAAGGACATGCAATCTGGAGCCCCCCAAATATTTTAAATAAATCTCAAAATAGAGGTTATGTATTAGATAGATGTGTAGCATATGAGTTTTATTTTCCCTGAGTTTGATGGTCAGATTGTGATTCCCTTAGAGAGTTTTCTTGTTCTTAGGAATTTCTAGAGCACTTAGCAATGAAAGTTATGTCTGTTTGGCAAAAATAATAATGATGATGGACCAGAGAGATATTACAGAGCTTAAGGTACATGCTTTGCATGCAACTGACCCTAATTCCGTCACTGAAATCTCATATGGTCCCCTGAGCACCACCAGGGGTCACTTCTGAATACAGAGCCAGGAACAGTCCTGAGAGCCACTGGCCATATGACCCCCAAACCCACCTACCCCAATGACATATTTAAGAATATTTTAAAATATCTTTTTAAAAATAATGATGATGATAATGATGATAGACATACATAGATGAAGCAAACATAAGAAAATATGAACCATTGGTGAGAAATATAAGGACAAATTTTTGTACTAGGCTTGCAACTTTTATGTTTGACATTGAAATAATAAAGACACATTAAATAACAATCTAAAGTTGTTTCAAATTTATTTTAAGAAAACAAACAAAGCCTCAACATAAAAGTCACATCAGAACTTTGCAGGGGTTCTGGAACTGAAACCCAGCACCCAATTAGAAACCCCCAACATAGTATATCCATTAGCCCTGGTTACCATTGGTGTGCTGGGGAATGATAAACCCTGAGCACACGATATTAAAAATAAAATTAACGTCATGTTTACCTTAGTTGTCATGTATGGCCATCTGCCCAGCAAGGGCACATCCTGGAATCTGCCTGAAATTCTCTTTCCTGTTGTCCGCCTGTCATCTCTGCAATCTAGCTAACCTCTGATCATTACCGATCTCTCAGCCTAAGTACCCCACTATCCAAGAAGGTTCAAGGGTCTTCTGGGTCAGGTCGCCGGTCCCTCCCTGTGTCTGTCCCTTCTGCATGCTGGATATACTTCCCAGTGCCAGCCCTGAGGGGACTTCAGCAAAGTCTTCCTCATGTACAGGCCATGAGGACTGGGCCAGATCTATTTTGGTTTGGAGGGAACCATAAGGCTGGCTCGGTGAAGGTGTGTAAGGTGCTTTGTAAACGCTCATGAAGAAATGAACATGGAACGCTCTGTAAGTCTGTGTAAGTCATTGAAGCTGTGAATCCACCCTGCTGGTAGATTCTCTGCCGAAAGACTCAACTCTGTGCAGTACCCATCTCATCTCCAGCCCTGGGAAGCAGATCTCAGGCCCACATGCGCCTTGCCCCCAGGGCCTCACCTGCACACAGCACATGCACGCTGAAGGGAGACAGTTCCCAAGAGCCTTCCGCAGTGACAGCT